GTCACCATCCACGCCACAGGGTGCCCTGCAGCGCGCTCTGCCCGTGCACGGGAGCTGGGGAGTGGGGAATCGGAGGAGAGGAGAGTCCCTCTGATTTGGGAAAGCAGTCTGGATTGAGGCATATACCGTTTGTATACATCTTGTACCAGGGGCTTGGGAATTTGGTATCGTGCAGTCATTAAAACAAAGACGGCAAATGAATTCATCTTACAGTAACTGAATTCTGTAACGGTAGACTATGGGCTACATGATTCCTGTAGACGTATAAGGTCCCTATTTATCAAAATCCTTTCACTGTCTCTTGACATATACATTTTTACCTTTTTTTTCTTTTAATTTAGCACTGGAGACAAGTCTGTGCAAGGCCACCCTTCCTCACACACACGCGCGCAAACACACACACACACTCTCTTTTCCAACATTTTACATCAAGGGCAACAACAGGAAAACAAACAAACCAGATCCAAAATTGCAAACACCTGCTGATAAAAGCTGCTTTCTGCTGATGAGCTCCATAGTCTCAGGGTTAGGAGTACGTTAGCTTATAATGTACCTGCACTAATCATGAAGCTCAGGAAAGGAGTGATGATGATATTCATCGCTCCAGAAGTTTCAATCAATTCGTAAGCGAGTTTACAAAAAGGCTCTGTGCTGTGTGGCTTTTCTCAATGTGTTAAAATGAATTTCCACACTAAAATGAACGTTCAGCCCATTGGCAAACCATAGGTAGCAAAGTAGGCAACTTACCAGACTGCTCCTACCAGCTCTGAGGTTGGGCGATAGGGAGACCTGGTGACACGGAGCTTGTCCAACTTCCTGAATTTTTCTGTCTTTAAAATTAGTGAGAATAGAGGGGAAGATTAACTCCCTGAAAACAACACAAAAACTGCATAGACTAATAGCAATTTTTGAACAGAAACATCTTTGTTGGTTTGGTTATTTTCCATGGAATACATGTGACATCCCAAAGGACCTCCTGGATGGAGAGTGTGGAGATGCTCTAAGGTCGGCAGCCTTGTCATGATTTCATGACAGAGATTCCTGCAGAAGTGACATGAAGTGTTCAAGATCCATGTCACAATCTGGTACTAGGAGCAAGTCACACCAGGCAAATTACACGTACTGCCTAGGCAGGTTGCAGAGGGAAAAAAGAGAAAAGAATGAAAAAATTTTTGGCTTCATTGCGATTAATGCACAGACTTAAACTGATAGTCCTACTGTGATAGGAACAATGTATTTTACAGATTTTTGTAGCAGATCAGTCCTATCTGTCTAACTCTACTGCTCCTGGGGTGCAGGTGAAGGGTGCCACATGCAGTCTCTTTCTCCCCAACTTTGCTGTGTCTTTATTAGAAAACAGCTCATCCTTAAACAAAAGACTCCTTTCTTTCCCAGTTTAATTCCCAAAATAATTCAGAGGAGCTCAAAAGAGGTGCATCAGGATTTAAAATTCTTGTCTTTTTTTTTTTTTCACTTACCTGCTCTTTGAACATTTTTTACATTGAAAACTTTTGGTTTTAAACTGGTAAGTGTTGCAATATGACAAGCAGATTAAAGTGGGTCATAGTTACATTTGATAGAAGAACACAGTGGAAATTACATGGATTTTTCATGTCATTATCTTCAACAACTGTTCATTCTTGTTGCTACTGTGCGCACGATGTCTGTATGAAGTGCACCACGTATGTTCCTGCTGGAGAGCAGCCCTTCTTGAGGCAGGGTTTTGCTTCGCAGGTTTGTGACTCAGCAGTCCCGTGTTGCACACTGTAAATAATACTGGGAGAGAAGCTGCACCGGTGAACTGGGGTAAATACATCCCTGTTCCCTTGTGTCCAGAGCTTCCTTCTGGATAGAAGTTGTCTTACCCTTGATTAGATATTTATTAACTTGGTTAAGCAATCAACCGCGTCACTCCTGCACTCATAATTCTGGACTCACTGAGGTCGTGTGGGCCTGTCACTAGCAGAGGCAGTTTGAGAGAAGTGGGGAGCCTAATACACTCTGATTTGTAGAAGACAAATCACTTCCCTGCTTTGCTCTTTGGAGAGGTTGTAGAGTTCACAGGAAAAACTACCTACTGGGTCATGCTGTTAAGGGTGATGGTAGTTATTTCCCTGCTAATTTTTGTATGCTATGCAAAAATGCAAAATGATTTTGCATTTTTGCTTTAGCTGCTGGCAAGGCAGACTTCCAGTAAAAGCACTGGTAGTTTAGCAAAGGGAAATCGGGTCCTGAGTTTATCATCACTGGGGTTGCTTACCTCATTGTAGAAAAAACAGCCTTTTTGTGGAAAGGGCTGAAGAGGTTAGAAATGGCATCAGCACTAGGTTTGTTTTGGCAGGTGATTGGTTTGTCACTGGTTTGTGTGCCAGCCCTGCTTAGTAGTCTCTCATCTTCATACTTTATTTTGCCTCTCTGCTTTTCCTTGCCACATTTTCAAGTCCCCAGGTGGCAGGTGCTGTTTCAGGTGAAGCGCCTGCCCCAAAGGTCTCTCAGGAAAATGGGCAGTGGTGCCGCTTCATCCTCCTTGCGCTCACCTAGCTGCTTCTTCCTAAAGCTCCTTGAGACGCGTACATGAAAACTGCTGCTGTTAGATTTTATTCTCCCTGCTCCCTTGAGGATCTTACAATCACGTGTTTGTTTTCATTCCCTTTTGAAGCGTGTTCCCTTTTGTTGCTGTGTTTCTGACAGATCCTCCTGACTGGGTCCCAGATGAGGTCTGCAGCTACTGCACTGCGTGCAAGGCTCCCTTCACCGTCATCCGCAGGAAGCACCACTGCAGGAGCTGCGGCAAGGTGAGGGCTCGGGCACGCGCGTGGCAGCGGGACTCTGCGCGCGGCAGAGCCGGCACGCCGGCTCTGCACCACGATTTTCCAGAGCAACAAGTGTTTCTGTATCTTCATGGGCAGCTCTTCCACTTACCTCTGGGAAAGAAGGGGAGGGTCTGGGATTTCATACAATAGCAGACATTTGCCCTCTAAAAAAACCAGAGGTCCCTGTTGAGCTCCCTGCACCTCCAAGCTGTAATGGACTTCCCCGGCAGTGCGGTGCTGCGAGGGGAGAGCCCCTCTCCAGCTGCTCCAGCAGCGCGTCCCTTTGCTTGCTCTGAGCCTTTGCAGGGTGGTGCTATGGGGCTGCTGCTTTGAAGTTCGTGGGGGAGGAGGGAACGAGGGAGAATAAAGCAGCTACGTGCCTCGGAGAGCCAGCGGTCTGCACTCCCATGTCACTTGCTGATCAAAACTCAGAGGGCAGAGAAACTGTGCGCTGACCTCAGCAGTCGTGTGGCACAGAGAGCTGTGAGGATATTCACGGGTGCTCCCTAGGCTCTCCCCGAGCTCTGTGCCGCTCACCCTCCTCCTCTGGAGGAGCCTCCTTGGCCTCTGCAGAGAGGCTGCTCCGTCTTGGCTCACGCTGGCGCTTGTGATCCTGGTCAGATTAGGGGTCACTGGGCTGTGGGTTCCTGCAGGGGGTTTTTAGCTGATGAGTGTTCCCAAGGTGGCGTTCCCAACGCACGAGCACGGGCAAACCATCCCTGCCTTTTCTTGAAACCAGTTTTGTCCCAGGAAGCTTTTCAAGGAGCTAAAGTGAAATCTCCCTCTTGTTTTTCAGATCTTCTGCTCCCGCTGCTCCTCTCACTCTGCTCCATTACCTCGTTATGGTCAGATGAAGCCTGTCCGTGTTTGCACTCACTGTTACATGTTCCATGTCACTCCTTTCTATAGTGACAAAGCTGGTATCTGATGTATTAAACTAGTGATGTGTCTATTGGAGTCTTAAAGGGACTAATATATTTGACCTAAGCCAAGAATTCACTTGAAAGAGGGACTCTGTGAGGGCATGTAGGCTTTGACATCCATTATTATGTATTTTGTACAGACAGTTTTTACTGCATTTTATTACGCTGCTAAAGGGAAGTACGAAGCGTCTGTAGCTCTAACGCTACAGTACAGTCTTCCATAAATTTATAACATTAACGTTATGATGCCATATGCCGAACAAATGCACTGCGTGGAAAGAAATAGGGCTTAGAGAACTGAGCAAATACTGCTGCTTATCATACATGCTAAGACCAGAGCAGCTGGTTCACTAGTTCATCACAGCAAATCAGTCGCAAAGCTGGGACACTTCTGTGCTCACTAAACTCTAGCATGGCCGTGGCTGTCAGCTCTCCCGCCAGCTGCGGATTAGCTCCTCCGTTACTGGGTTTGTGCCACCTATGCTAGGATTAATCAAAGTGAAAGTATTTCGAATCCATATTCAGTATTTATGAAGGCAAATTTTGTTTGAATCACATAGGAAGAACGGAAGGTCCTGAAGCATTATGTGTCTGTTGCCTTTCATTTTCCGAGCTGAGCAATAACTCTTTAAGTTGTCTTCTAAAAATTAAACTTTATAACTTCTAATTTCCATATTGGGGGATTTTGAAATTATTTATGGCCTGCATCATTTATGCTAAATTCCATTAATAAAAATTAACACAGAGCTTTGATTTCTGTGTCAACTACTGAAACTTAACAAACTGCAGTGGAAATGATTACCACATGAATGATTTATTATTTAAATAGATATTTTTGAAAAAGGTTAGCAGCAAAATTGAGTAGATATGACAAAGGATTTATCCCATGCTGAGGATGTTTTCAATACTTTTAAAAAAGCAAATATGTCATGATATAATATATTCAAAGGTCCTACAGAATGGTCAACGAGGGAGAGGTTCGTGTTGTCCACTTCTGGCAGAGTAACTGTAAAATATTGCATACTGTTACTTCACAGAAACATTGGCATTTATTTGAAACACCAGGGATTCATTTTTTATATCCACTTGGAGAGGAAAGAAATAAGATTCACGTGGCTTCGTGCTATGATCTTGCACAACCTATTTGCAGCAAGAGCTCCATGAGCACTGAGGTTTGAAAGATGTTTGGACATGCTTTGAGTTGGCTGCATTAAAGGCAGGACACTGCGTGCTGTAGTTAGAGAGGAAATGAGACCAGGAGCCCTTTGCTCTATCCCCTTTACCGACTCGCAGTGTTACACAGAGGGTTTCAAACCGACACGTACGAGAACAGGAGGAGGAAGCTGTTTGTGGTAGCGCGCTCACGAGCGGGTGTCATTCAAAACGATACAGCAAGACTGGCCAGTGTGGTTTTTTCTGTGGACATTCCCTTCGTTACGTGGTTTTATATTCACTGTTAATGAGCCATATAAGGGTATAAGTTTGTCGGCACTACTGTCATTTTGAATCAGATGAAACAGCTTCACTTAGTTTATGTGTACTGCACAAGCCTTATGATGCTGTTTGTGGATGACTTCAGCTATAAAATGTTATCCTCACCTTATTTATATTTTTATTATATTTTTCCTGATTTTTTTCTCATGGAGTCCTTGAGCTGGACTGTTGGATTCACCAGAACTTGAGGACATGGGGTGGGGTAAGGTGGGAGATGGGTAATGCGGTGCAAGCAGTGATACTTATTCAGGCTTAAATCTCAGGCTTCACATTGCAATGATTATTGCAGTTTTATTTTTAGAAAAAAAACGACAAATATAATGCTTCTTTTATAGGATAAAAAAAATACAACGAACTACAATTGTGAAATAAATATGCACAAAAAATTGCTTCTGTGAAAAAAGAATCTTATTTAATGGACTGAGTATTTATTCAAGCTTGTTTTTATTTTGTAAATGCTGTAATTCAGAATCATTTCCATAAATATGGTATTTAAAGATCTCAGACACTATAGTTTCTTATGTAAATACAGACTCCTATTTCTCTTACTGAAAAGCACAATGACTATATCAATACTAATATACATTTGCCTCAAGGAAGACTTTCATCTTGTAATCTCTAGAGATAATTAAAATGTCAGGACTTTCTACTTCCATGTGCTGGGTTGCTCTTTCATTTCTGGTCTGTTTACACACAGTGACAGCTGACATCCTGTCAAAGAAACCAGCCTTAATTCTGCCTTGCTTTGCCCAGTTTGCAAATACCATGAAACATTCAGAGTTTAAATTTGAAAATGGAAGTCACCCTTACACACAGGGCTGGCAAATCAAGCCTGAGCACTGACCTGTCACTGGAGGTTTAACATTCTTTGCGCTATCCCTAGCCCCTGGCTTAACCTCTCCCTTGCCCAAAGACCTTGTGTCAGTGGCTGCCCCGTACCCAGGGCATATTTGGTCTCCCTGCATCAAATCAGAATCACTTCTGTGTGATACAAATCTGCTGGGAGAATAACGATCCTTGGCTCTACCTGGACAGTTATTCCTATAAAGTGTGTGAGTTCCCTGTGCTGGTTTGCGGTGCTGCTGGTAGGAGAGGGAACTGGTGCATTGCTTGTGGGCTTTCAGAGACTTGCTTTGTCCACAGACATCAACGTACATCTTTGACAGGCCCTTCCGCTGAAGAAACGTTCTAGCCCTGCGGCGTGAGGGTTTCAGCTCCTCGGCGGCGCAGTGGTTAGAAAGCTGCCTGGGAATTTTGTGCGCAAGCTCGAGATTGCATTTGAGTTTAGCATACAGAATATTTATGGGCCAATATTGCTCCCTTAAGGTGTTTACATGAAAATGAACAGCAGAAGTTTGTCCTAAAGGGATTTTTTTATGAAATTTATGGTGCTTGAGGGTTTGTCTAAAGTAGGGTAAAAAGGAACCTCTTGTTTTCTCCAACTTCCCCACTGGTTTCTCCATTCCTTGGGGTGATGCTACAAGATGGCATAGAAAGGTAAGAGCGTTGCCAAAGGTGGCTGTAACTCTCCCGCTGTTGGGCCTGCCTGCATGAGAGGGTCCCTTTGAACCACGGCTGTTTTCAGCAGCTTTCCCCAGTTTATAACGCGTCCTTCTGGAGCTGTGCTGAGCGTACAGCGCTCCCTCCTCCCTCGGGCTTTGCCAAGGCAGCCTGGGCTCCCTCTGCAGCGGAAGGAGCTTCGATAGAAGATCTGTCTGCCTGCAGGGACTCCTCCTCACCAAGAAGGCTCAGAAACTCAAAATAGGTCACCCGGCGGCTCTGTGAGGAGGAATGGGATGAAAGCGACGGGGCCGCCCTGCGCCACAGAGCGCCCCGGCCGCCCGCGCCGCCTCCCGCGGGGAGGCCTCACCGGGACCGCTCCAGAATTGGGCGCTGTTTGTGGTGCTCGTGCTGGAAGGGCTCTCCTCCCTGGGCATCCCTTCGAGCGCCCGCAGGCTCCTCCAGCTGTTTTCCCTTCCAGCCTCCTTGGGTGCCTTGCGCTGCGGAAGCATTTGGGGCAGTATCGCACAATGTGGGGCGCTTTCATCCCTGCTGCTCCCGATCTCCCCCCTCAGGGTCCCCGGCACAGGATCCTTCCATCCCTTCATTCCCTGTCCTCACAGTTTTAGGAGGGGCCACTGCTAAAGCCCCGTTCCCGAAGGGTGCTGCTTCCCGCCCTTGCTCCGGAGCACCGGGCCGTGCCGCCGGAGAAGCCCCATCAGCCGTGCGATGGTGGGGACTTCACCTGCCATAGGCTTGTGCTATCAAACCCTCATGTGCTTCTGTGGAGCAACTCTGATCGAGTTTTGAGGGACTCATTTACTTATTAATTAGTTTTTCTCTCCAGGCCATTAGTGATTGTTGCTTCATTAGCGAGTTTCCTGGTCATTACGCAGCAGCAAAATGCTCTGGTCTTGTTTTTAATTCAGCTCTCTTTCTTTGGCTTATCTGTGAAAAGTTGGAAATTAGGGGATGAAGCTATGAAAGGGAAAAAATTGCTTGCACCAGTTCAAAAATATGTTTTTAAAGGAACTGCCACATGATTCCTTGGCTCTCAATTGCGGAAAAGAAAAAAGTAGGAAGCAGCAGTTCAAAAGTGCAGAGAGCCAGTTTCTGAGCTGCCTGCTTTCGTCTAGGACTTTTCTGCCTTGTAGCTGCTGAAATGGCTAATCTGAATAGGGGATCTCCAGGTGAAATGTTCTCTTAGCAGGGAAGAAGAATACAAGGTTTTAGCCACTGACTGTACATCGTCTCTCTAGAAATAACTCTTCCATAATTCGAAATAATAATGGGGGAAGTGAGCTACGGCTCCCATGTGAAGCAGCTCCATTCAAATAAGAAAAATCAGCTATTTTGATGCAAGTCCGTTGAAACAGAATATAAAGCTCTCATGCCTTCACCTCCCAACTGACTACACAGCCCATGCCCCTTGTGCCGGGGGGATTCTGCTCTCCAAACAAGGCTGATGTCCTTTCCTGTAACAAAGCAGGAAAATGCCCGTGCAGCTGTACTGAATGGGTCATGCTTGCTCATCACGCTCTCATGTCTGCTATTTCTAATTCCAGTTCTTTTCTCTTTTTTACTGCTTGATAAAATCAAATGCCAGGAGGAACGCAAGGTGCTATCTCACCTAAAGCACAGAGTGTGTTTCTGAGCAGGTTGGAGGAACATCGACTTAAGCAGAGACCAGTGTATGTTATATGTTATTTGTATGTCTCCACCCAAAATAAGCAGCAATATAAGTTCTTGGTAGATGGAGGAGGATAGAGGGAGCCTTGTCTTTTTGCTTGTGGATCATTTTTTTTTCCTGCTTTCTTCTCTTAGGAAGAAAGGCAGAAAGAAAGCATTTGCCTTTTAAAAATCTTCTCCATGCAACAAATAGCTCTTATAATGCGATGTAATTGCACAGGGTACATAACTACTGATCATCAAACAATGTTAGTTTGGTTTTAAAGTAAAGAGAAAAATCATTAACCCCAAATCAAGCAATTATGAAAACACTTGCTCTGAGTGTAAACAGCTCAGAAAGGCATCTGAGAATACCAGTGCAGTGTGATAAAATGCTATCTGCCTTGCATGCTGCTTCTGGAGGCTTTCCAGTGCCCTCCAAAGGTTCAGCTGTCGTCACGTCGCTATTTGCCAGAGGAAATTGGTCCTTGCCAAGTCATATCTTCATTGCTGCTCTTTGTGCTGCTGGGATTTGGTGGCTCATGGCTTTACACATTGGGAGCCCATTCATGATAGTTTTAACTTGTGATATTTATAAAAGGGCTTATGCATCTGGCAAAACAGAAGATGTAACTGAAGGAGGAAAGGTTTTGAGCTGGCATCTTGCTAAAGACCGCATTTCTGGCATGCCTGATACTGCCAGGGAAAAGCCTTGGGAAAGAGGAAAGGGTTGGAAAGTGTGGAAAGCTTTCAGGGGAGTGGAAGCATCTATCGGATAAGAGAGAATCGATCTGTTGTACCAAAGAGAAGGTTAATTGAAAATGCAATTGGCTGCAC